CCCCCCCCCCCCCAATAAATAAGCCCATCAAAAATCGCTTACGAAGGAATATAAGCCCAGGGCTTATAGTCAGAGGTTTACGGTAGTGATTCAGTTGTGTTTAATTGTTAATTTTGCATTTCTATATTTATGGCAATGAGTTTGTTTTATCGTTAACATTGCTTTAAAATATACCCGGTAGATGATTAAGAGTTGGTAATTAAAATTGAATTGAATCGATCCTACATGGGAATTAAAACTCCAATATTGGTTAGTATTTGAGACAAGAATATCCCATGTCTTGGGGCATTGTTGGGAATTTGAAAATCAAAAATGGATAGCAATTGACTCAGTTGAGACCCAGAATTGGTTTCTATTTGGGACATGAATATCCCAGAGTTGGGATATATGTGGGAAATGAAACATCCAATACTGGGTAAAAGGTGACCCAGTTCAAACCCAATTTTGTTGCGAAATGCGAAATGTTGTAAAATGCTGATAATATAGCCTTGCGAAGTTTGCAATTTTCAGTCATTTTAGATTACAAACTGGAAATTGACAGCCCAATACCCTTTAGTCTATTATGCAAATGGTCAATTGCACCTGAAAAAACCTGTGGTCCAGTAACAACACTCGTTTATGCTGGTATCGAATTAGATTCGGTCAAAGGTGAAGCTTGCTTGCCTATGGAAAAAATCACCAAATGCGTTGAAACAATTTCATCTTTTCTTCAATGGAAGATGGTCACGTTAAAAGACCTCCAATCCTTAATTGGTTTGTTGAATTTCGCCTTTTCTGTAATTGAGCCAGGCTGTGCATTTTAAGGCGCTTTATTGACCACACACAAGGCACTCAAAATCCACGTCATTTCATTCGATTGCATTATGAAGTAAAAGTGAACTTGGCAAACTTTTCTGTCCCCTTTTAATGGCATTTCAATTTTTCGTGATGAAGCCTGGCTCAATTCCACCAAGTTGAATTTATTCACTGATGCGTCAGGTTCTATTGGTTTTGGGGCTATATTTGGCACTGAATGGTGATTATGAAGTAAAAGTGAACTTGGCAAACTTTTCTGTCCCCTTTTAATGGCGTTTCAATTTTTCGTGATGAAGCCTGGCTCAATTCCACCAAGTTGAATTTATTCACTGATGCGTCAGGTTCTATTGGTTTTGGGGCTATATTTGGCACTGAATGGTGATTATGAAGTAAAAGTGAACTTGGCAAACTTTTCTGTCCCCTTTTAATGGCGTTTCAATTTTTCGTGATGAAGCCTGGCTCAATTCCACCAAGTTGAATTTATTCACTGATGCGTCAGGTTCTATTGGTTTTGGGGCTATATTTGGCACTGAATGGTGATTATGAAGTAAAAGTGAACTTGGCAAACTTTTCTGTCCCCTTTTAATGGCGTTTCAATTTTTCGTGATGAAGCCTGGCTCAATTCCACCAAGTTGAATTTATTCACTGATGCGTCAGGTTCTATTGGTTTTGGGGCTATATTTGGCACTGAATGGTGATTATGAAGTAAAAGTGAACTTGGCAAACTTTTCTGTCCCCTTTTAATGGCGTTTCAATTTTTCGTGATGAAGCCTGGCTCAATTCCACCAAGTTGAATTTATTCACTGATGCGTCAGGTTCTATTGGTTTTGGGGCTATATTTGGCACTGAATGGTGTTATGGTTAATGGCCATCACACTGGTTAAATCGTAACATAGCAGTTTTGGAATTTTATCCAATTGTCCTCAGCCTGTGCTTATGGGTGCATAAGATGCGCAATCAATCTATATTCTTTTTTACCGACAATCACATGTTAGTTCATGTCATTAACAAAAGGTCCTATCAGGATAAGTCATTAATGTGTTTTGTCTGCAGGGTGGTCTTAATTTGCTTAAAAAACTCATTATTAATAATTCATGAAAAAAAACACAAAGAAAAATATCTGTATATGTGATACAGATTCATGTTGATTTACATAAACTTTAACTTTGATTTTCTTGGCTTAGACAACGTTTATTTTTAAAATCACTTTGCCAATGAACTCATAAGATGAGTCGTTTTTTAAGTCATTTACAACATTTGTGTCCTTGTTGTATCGGATATACAACCTCTCGCCTTCGGCTCAAGTTTGTATATCCGATACAACACGGCCGCTCATGTTGTAAATAGTACTGACAAAACAATATCCTGTTTAAGGCTAAACATATCCCTGGTACTCATAACAAACTGGCCGATTGTTTATCTCGATTTCAGGTGTCAGCCTTCGAACACTTTTGGCACCGAGCAACATGAACAATCTTCCAACAGACATCCCCTTTGACCTGCAGCCTCAAAGCTGGCGGATATAATAACATGTTTAACTAAATCTAGTTTACAAATTCAATTCAAATTCAAAATTTTAATGACACTGTTTCATATCATTAATTTTTTTAAAAATACAGGAAGAAAAAGAAAGTATATTGTAGGAGTTAAAAATAATTAAACATTTTGAAATTTCAAACCAAAAAAGTAGTAGTGAGCGACAGCCAGAGGAGCAAAGCTTTCGATCTGGTTGCTGCAATGTCAGAGTAATGTGAGCCGATTTAGCTCTCGATCATCCATCCCTACTTACACTAGGGTTATTTACTCAATTCCACAGCACAGTTTGAGGATGGCGTGCTTTAAGCTTACCCATTTCCCCAGCAACACTGGCACTTTTCATTTCATTGCATATTTATTTGATGGAAATTACACATCATCTACGGACAATACATACATCTCTGCGATTGGTTACTGTCATAAATTGTCTGGTTTCCCAGATTCAACCAGAGTATTCTACATTATACAAATGTTGAAGGGTTATGCCAAAAATGACACATGGTTGGATAGTCAGTTACCTATCACGTTGCCAATATTACAAAGTTTGCTTAATGTCGCTCCTTCTATTGCTGGTTCTACATACCAGGTTTGTCAATTTAAAGCAATATGCTTGTTGGCATTTTATGCCTTTTCTTAAGGATTGGGTAACTTACTGCAACTAATAAGGTGATTAATCATGTGGGTCCTTTGTTTATCACTCAAGCTGGTGGAACTGTTACCAGGGAGGGTTTTGCTACACAGCTGTCCCAGGCAATTTGTTGCTGTGGTCTGAATCCAGATCGTTATAAATCTCACAGTTTTAGAATCGGGGCCAATTCTTATGCTGCCGAACAGGGGATGTGTGGGGCCAGTTGTATAAAACTCCCAATCACTTTTTTAATCACTATTTTGCAGTTACATAGTGATTAACTCTCAAATACGTGCTTGTTATTGGATGACGTTTCCACTAACTATAGTTAACTTTAATCACTTTTTTATACAACCAATTAGCAAGGGTGGTCGCATTTCATCGTTCGTTCCATAAGTATAAATGCACAATTTAAGTATATTTAACGGGCGACCAAATAATAATAAGTCTCTAGTAAGCCGATATTTTTTGTTAATATAACAGTTTGCAGGAGGCGACTGCTTGTTATTTAAAATTGGATGTCTATCACGTTTATTTCAGGTATTTAGCACAGGCGAATACCTCCGTTTTGTTTTGCGCACTGTGTGCATCATAATTATGATGGTTCATAAAGCTTTAAAGCACATATCACCCACTTTTTTATTTAATTAATGGAAAGTAGAATATATCCGTTTTGTATTGATTTTCGTATTTTTCTTAGGCTTCAAACAGCAAAATAGTGCATATTTTCGCACCAATTAACTTTTGGCTGAGCGAAATGATTTTCTCAAGAGATTGGGCCGAGTGACATTGCAGGAGTGACTCGTGTTTGCAATAATTTACATCTACACCGCAATTCTCCGTTATTCAAATTATCTGGCTTTTTGCACAAGAATATGCCCAATAGATGTGTTGTGTAGCTGGTAATTGATCGAACGTTCCTGATCTTTCCAGGAATATTGGAACACAATCTGGAGAACAATAGACAGAGACTTTGGGTAGCTTTTGTGTGGACAAGATGTGCAAAGTGGTCGCCAACTGCTACCTCCCGGCTTTGTTCACAGTACTTTAACGCTGATGATTTCGAAAGCCCATTTACAAGGATTCTAGGAACGGATTTCGTAAGTCCAGCAGGGTTGAAAAAGCATGCTGTTCCTTCTATACACCACCAGAAGGATCCTGAACCTGAGATGGCTGATTCGCGGTCAACTAGGAAGCATCGCAGTGTAAGTGCAAATATGTACTGTATATACTGTTCATTGGTAATATTGTCACGTTTTTAAATGGACTCACTTTCTCACAGATATACGTCATTTTCGTTTGAATAGGTTATAAGGGGATTGCTAAAAGAAAAAGAGGCCAAAAGCAGCGAGGAAACCGAGAAAGAAATATCAACAACATCACTTGAAAATGTTGCATTTGTGTCAGAGCCTGATTTAGCAGTTGACTTCATTCATCATGTGGAACAATCTTCCACTGTAAGTCAAAATATTTATGTATTTATTCCAATCAATCAACCAATTGATCTCACAAATATATAAATTATTTTTTTAGATGCAAGATGCTTCCAGTCAAACACCCGAGTGTCTGGGTTGCAAAAAATTATCAAGTCAAAATCACCAGCTCTGCAACAAGATCATTGATCTCCAAGTGAAGATACAGGACCAAGAAACTGAAATTCAGCAACAAAAAGGTAAAATTAATTTTGTTTTCACTAGCTAGTAAGTTCTCAGAAATATTCATATTGTTATTGATGCTTGCTTCCTCACTCTCAGAGGTGGGTATCCCTACCCCAGATAAAATCAACTGATCATTACCTGTTCTATTTCTATTTTTATTCTTTTACAGTTTTTTATTTTAAATAATATTATATACATTTAATATCAATGCTCTAAATGTGACATATTTCATTACAGAGAGTCTAGATACAAGTATGAACAGGATAACCTCTATGGAAAAGATCATTGTCGACAATGAGAGCATCCTAAGCAGTGATGAAGAAATGGAAAGTGAAGAGGAGCCTCATTTTTTTTAAGCTTCTTTGCAACCTATTCCCAGATACAGAATCCAATAAAGATTTGTGTGAATCAGAGTTGTCTTCAGATGATGAAGAATTTGAAGAAACACAACATACAAAGTAAGTGGTCCATATGGATGAACTGAGTTAGGGATTCATGTGCACAATTTAATGCTCGCCCTTTTATGTTTGTACAACATCTATAGCATATTAATGACTTAAACAAGCATTTTACAAGTCCAAAGATACTGTATTACCTTATTGTATAAGTACTGTCAAAATGGGTACTGCAGTTAGAAATTTTGAAGGTACTGTCCCATATACAGAACATGTCTTGAATTTTTTAACAAACAAATATTTTTTGTTTCTATTGTTGCAGGGTATCAACCAATTCAGAAAATGTACGAACAGAGCCAAAGTTCATTGTTTTCCTCCCCCAACTACTGCTCCTGTTCAAGATCTGCCCAACATGCAAATTTGAGAAGCCTTTTGTTGAGACAGGGTTGAGACAAGTGTGATTGGTACCATGGTTAAAGTTAAAAGGCAGTGCTTTAATCCTCACTGTCCATCGCCTGTCAATACCTGGAAAAGTCAACCAACCATGATAGGAACAAAAATGTCAGCAATGAACTTCTTGCTGTGTTTTTCAGTCTTGGTGTCTGGTGCTTCCCCATCAAAAACATTTTTAGTCTTCAGGAACGTGGGTCTATCATGTATTTCTTTGAAGACTTACTTTAAACGTCAAGCTGTAAGTACATTATTTTGTAACAGTTCACTCACAAATTGAGTACCATACCTTAGCATCATTCTAAGGAATTTCAAACTGTATTATTTAGAAATACTGTATGTAGAACTCAATCCTCCTCACTCCAGAGAAATATGCCCAGACGATTATAGAACAGTAGTTTGGAGAAAAACGTTTATTGCTGAGTGCATGAAATGCCACTCCACACCCTGGATTGTTCGAGAATTTAATGTCATACCATTCATGTCTTTTCAGAAAAAACGTTTCCCAACAAACCATTTGTATTGGAAGAAATACAAGCAAGATACAGTAAGCAAGCTGAAAGCAACTGGGCAAAACTTGGTTATTGCTGGTGATGGTCGGCATGTCAGCATGGGTCATAGCACAAAATACTGTGCATACACTTTATGCACTTTTTGCAACAAATTGCACAGTTTCACTTATTGATTTTTCTTTGATTCAGGTAGGTTAATCCATTGACTGCCAGCACACTCTGATTATTAACAAGTAAAATTGTCTTGCATTCAACATTGTAAAATACTAAAGTACAGAACAGTAGGGTGGTCGCAGTGCAACTTGATGGGTTACGACACACCATTTTCTACCTTTTGGAGCAGTTGCTTTTTAAGACACTATACAGTATATCCAATAATTTGCTGCACCCTACTTTATTTTTATTTTTCGAATGCGAGATGGTTTTAACATCAAGTGTGTAGTCCTGTGTATTAAGGGGGCAAGCTACCTCATGCACTTGTAAAAATTCGAAATAACTTTTTTGTCTTAAAAGCTTCATTAGTATATGTAAAAGTTTAAGAAAGCAAAAATATGTCTTTTAAGAGCGTTCCTTTCTCTCAAAATTTCATTTTTTTCAAAGGGTAGGCAACCATCTTTCTCATTGCCATGGAAACGGATTTGTGTTTGTTGTTTGTTAAGGCCCTGTAGCTTGGTTGTTTGTGCGTAGTTTGAATTTTTTTTTGCTAATTATGTAAATCCACAACCCAAGGGACTGGTAACGATATTCAGGCCTGGTGGCATAGCCATTTTAGGCCAAAATTTCCTTCCTTGTTCGAGAACTTCGCTTTTAAGCTGAAAACACATCAAAGATTTATATTTTATTGGTATTATATGTTATTTTGTTGGTTATTGGTAACTGAAAGTTGTCTCTTAGAGACTACAGTTCTTTGCAATGCAGAAACCCTCGAAAAAGAGGCGATTTCATGCCAAAGATGGGATGGTTCTGTACCTGTTTCAAATTCAAGCAACAGCAATCTTTCATCTCCATGTGCATCTACACCAGCGATTGAAACAGCTTCAATGCGAAAGATTACCAGTCAAAATACTGAAAGAAGTGAAGATGTCGATGGTGCATACAGCTATAGACTGATCGAATTGTCAAATTTAGTAAGTGCTTTTCAGCCTTTACACAAATGTGAATTTGGAGGAGAGTTGAAAGTTGGTGATGATGAGGCTTATAAGTACGGAAATAGCTCAGTTATCAACATAGAATGCTCTAAATGCAAAGTCAAGATTGAGCTTCAAACGTCTGGAAACAACAGCCAGGCATGGAAACCTCAAAATGCCATGGACACCAATAGGCAAATGGTTTACTCCTCAATGGAAATGGGAGTAGGAAGAGAGGGAATGTCTGTGTTGTGCGACATTTTCAATATGCCTCATCCTTGCCATCATAAAGCTTGGGACAACCATGTGGCTGCACTGTATGAGGCACACAAACAAGCTGTTGCAGAACAGTTGCAGAAGGCAAGAGATAAAGTTTTTGCACGCCATAGTTCTGACGAAACAGATGTTGCAGAGACCTTCTTTCTAAAACAAATTAAGCCCCAATCCATATTAAGTCCCTTCACTAGTATGTGCCTTATCTAATAATTTATCTATTCTCAGATACTTGGAAGAGATGTTAAAGAAAAAGTTGTAGTGGCCTTCCAGTAGTGTCTTACAATCAGAACAAGCACTCTGATGTGCACCAATATTTGGACTATGTGCAGGACTTCCTTGCTGACATATACAAGACCGATGAAGATGAAACCTTGGACAGTCCTTCAAATCATATAGACGCATTGGCTGAAGTTGATAAAAGAGAACAAAATCTTAAAGGTATTGAGCTACCCCTGTGTGGTGATTTGCTTGGACGGGAAAGGGTATCTGGAGCAATGACACATGATTGGGCTGTGACTATACCGCCGAAAGGTTTGGGAACATTGTGGAGAATGTGGCTCAATGGCACACCAAACCATCGTTTCTTGAGTTATGTTATGTGTTATTTTTACATGCAAAGGGTAAACCGTAATTTACCATAATGCGAACTTGCATATACATGTTTACTATTTTGAAAGAATATTTGATGGGGGCTACACGAAAGTGTGTGCAGCATGTAAAGGGAATATATAGGGATGGTTTTCAAACACAATCTATCATGTTGAAATGACAATTTGACAAAAAGGTCCAGTATAGGTGAAAAGAAACTCTTGATGACCTCAATTGGATGGTTGTGCAGAAGGCACAATAATGGATGTATTTCATTTTAAAAATTAGTTGAACATATTTTCTACATAAACATATGTTTTTACTAATTATTGAGCATGTTCTACTACTATAAAATAATAATAACAATTCCAACTGACGAACGATTATGCCAATGTCAAGAAGAACCACATGAGAGCTGAACACTTAACGCTGTGCGGCATTCCTGAAATGGGTGGGACTGGAACACCTTGACGATACACCTACCAGAATAAGCGTACCTTTTTGTGGAAGCTCAAAAGAGGAAAGGATGTTGTTCATCGCAGACACAGTGGGAAAATTTGTGGAAGAGTATGTCCTAATGGAATCCAACGTGGAGAAACAGCAAAGACAAAAGGATGAAAAAACTCATCTCATCCCAACAATTCCAAAACAGTAATTATAGAGTTTAAAATACATACAAGGCTGTATACACATACACTGTAGAAGAAAATTGGTTTGACAAACAAATTGGTTGCCTCAAATTTTGGATTATGATAATGGAAGTATGATTCCAACCTCGTAATCAGGGTCTTTCCTCTTGGCGAGGGGAGAAAAGTCCCTGGTAGATGCTGGTCACATGATCTGCTGAAATCTAGCAGATTTTTAATTAGCAATCCAAGATGAGGGCAAAAAATATTTGGATAATTTTTATAATTTTAATTTATAATTTGCTTTTTGTATGATTGTCATAAAGGAATCCAAGATAGTTAATTAAAAATCTGCTAGATTTTAGCAGATCACGTGGGTCTTTTTCTCCACAAAGAGGAAATAATTCTGGCACAAGGTTGGTATGATTCGTCATCTCCCTAAATTTGCCGTTGAAAACTGTGCCATGTTTTCAATAGTTTGTGTATGCTACTCAATAGTTAACATTGCCAAGTGTAAACAACAAGAGACAGAACTTTTGCTTCATATGATTACAATAAAGTTTTGAAAACTCTATGAGTATGGATTGACAAGTGACAGTTTACTAAATAGCTGGCTGCCGGCTGTATAGACACTGACAGCATAATTATTTGTTACAATCATAATCGCATTATAAAATTTGATAAATTTTCTTGGCGGCGGGGGATTGCCCCTGCTGCCCACCGCACTATGTACAGCCCTGTTAGATGTGTATTATGTTTGACTTTAAAATCTTATTTGCTATTATATTATAATAAGTGATGAAATATTTCAATTGTCCCATGTCACTGTCATTATTCAGTTCCTTTCAAGAAAATACAAAATGTGAATCAAGTTTTTCGCAGATACATGTACGCGTCACGCGTACCTATTTTTAAAGTTTTTTAATGTTGTCTGTACATATAATTACATGCGATTATTAGATAAATGTGCATAAAACCAAGTGTAAACTGGATGTTATATACTTCACATTTGAATGCTATACCTATCAAGTATCTTTTTGGCAGACGGCTGGTGCCAAACGGAATCATCCAGCATTACAATATCATTGTCGTTGACATAATATTGTCATTTAATACTTTGGTATACGCTTTTTTTTGCCTTATAACATAGTCTCATTCACAAACGCCACTATTGTTCTGTCTGCAGTTTTAGCACACAGCCACACGTCAGTTATTCCACAACAGAAAAACCACTTCTAATCATCTACAAACTGACAAGAAGAATATATTTTCGATATGGCAAACCGTATACGATGCCATCATGCATGTAAATTATTGCATTGACCGAGTGAGAGATTGGGCACGAAAAGTATGATCCGTAAAGCCATTTCACAGTTTGTACGGACCGTATGATCCATACGGATTGACAAACTTTTCTTCCCTGACTTGAACACAACATC